AAAAAAAAAAAAAAAAAATCTAACACGTAGGGTGCTGATTGTGTAAGAGTCTGTATATGTTTGCATTGTTCTTATTATCGATCTTGCAGCTTCACTTGGGTTTCCCTGGTCAGGACAGTCCGAAGTTCCCAGTGTCTTCTGTGCAACCTGAGGAATCGTGCCAGTTTCTCAGCCAGGTCTTCTGGTACTGCCCCCGAGGCCTCCTGATCCAAGCAAGATGATTCTAAGGACTGCTGTAAGAATAGATGGCTCCCCAGGTCATGCTCATACGATCCTCCACCACCCAGCCCTTCAAACATGTCATTACAGCGTCTTCCAGGTATTTAACGTCTCTTATAGTTACTATGTATCAAACTCATGGTTCCCAGGCATCAAGGAATGAAGTCAGGGACCAAAGAGGAGGTTAGGGGTGTTTTATTGGGAATAATAAGAAGAACAGCTCCTGGGTTTTCAAGAAGGTCCTGAGTGGGTGGCTACATGACCCCACAATCCAGAGCTCATTATAAAGAAGCAGAGCATAGGAATTGCTCAATTGTTTTGTGGCCACCTATCACATGTGGCTCTGTGGATTTTTTTTATTTTTTTTTAATCTTTGAGACAGGGTCTCACTGTGCAGTTCAGGCTGGGCTTGAGCTTACTTTGTAGCCCAGGCTGATCTTGAACTTGTAACAATCCTGCCTGAGCCTCCCGAGTACTGGGATTACAGGCAGGCGCTACCACTCCCAGCTAGCTCTGTGGATTTAAAATGGCCCATTGGGTGGGCCGGGGATATAGCTCAGTGGCACAAGCGCCTGCCTGGCAAGCCCAAGGTCTTGAGTTCAATTCCTGGTACCAAAACAAACAAATGAACATAATATTAAGCCAGGTGTGGTGGCACACGCCTGTAATCCCAGCACTTGGGAGGCTGAAGGATCGTTGTGAGTTCGAGACCAGCCTGGGCTACAAAATGAGCTCAAGGCCAGCCTGAACTGCATATCAAGACCCTGTCTCAAAAACAAACAAACAAACAAACAAACAAAGGGCAAATAAAATAAAATAAAATGACCCATTGGAAAATTAATTAATTAATTAAACAAAATGACCCATTGGAACTCAGGCTTCTAACCCAGTTCTTCAACATACAGAGTTTAAAGGCATGTGAGATTTTTAGAGGAAAAAAAAAAAACTGATCATTTTGCATCTTAATTTCCTCAGGACTCAGGAGGTTAGTAGGATGTGTGCTGCATCCCATGTTGTCAGAGGAAGCTCATCCTTGGTCCAAAGTCCCAATTCAATGTCTATTCCTTTTTTTTCCTTTCTTGTGTTTTTTTTTTTTTTTTGTACCGGGAACACAACCTCGTGCTTGCCAAGCAGGCACTGTGCTGCTGAGCTATACCCCCTGCTCAACATCTATTCATTTAAAAATTCTTATCAATATGGCTTGTCACCCCACTCTTCCTCAGGCCATCCCCCTAGCTAGCTGCCTCACTCATAAACTAAGTAAACTATCATCTCTAATGGGTTCAATCTCCAGCACTACCAAAAAAAAGGTATACAAATACATGTGTCTTCTCAGAGGAGCTTTTATTCCAATATGGGCAGCTACTCTCCAAACCTGAGTAATTTTTCTCCTCTTTTGGATGTCTTATTTCTCGTTCTCTCCTTAGTTTCCTGGTCCCACTCCCTATGTTCCCGTCATCCTCTCAGTCAAATAACCACCCTGCTGCTCTGGAAGATGATCTCCTCCTTTTATCTGGGTTAATACACACCATTCCAAGTACTGGTAGTAATATTTGTTTACTCATAGCTACTCCTTAGCCTAGGTAATAAGTACCTGCAGCACAGGTAACATTTTCCATCCCTCCCAGAGTAAACCACACTCCAAATGCAAAACTTGACCTGTTCTCTGATATTTGCCATCTTACTGGGAGAAAGAGTTAGGTGATGGACCTAAAAGAGAGGTGGATAGCATCTAACAGTACCCACAAACAAGGAAGGTAGGGAAAAAAGGCATGGGGGTGGGAGGCCTGGGAACAATAACGGGAATGAAGGTATAGGTGAGCTGAGGAGTCTTCAGTGAGGCCGGAGAACAATATGAAGGCGATTTCTCTGCCCCAAACACTGACT